GAATTTACTCAACTCAGTTAAGTGGAACGGGGTCACATAACATGGTTATGTAAATCCAACATTTCATTTTTAGAGTGTATATTGTCACAGAATAACCTCTGTTAAAAAGGAAATGTACTTTCTGCTCCATCGTGTTTCATTGAATGTGTTCTTAGTAATTCCAGACCAGGTCAGATTATNGTAAATGTACAGGTACCAGCCAAAGACTCACCTGCGTTTCCAGTTAATGATGACTTCAAGTGTTAAAGATTATTCTACGATCAACTGTTTAATTTTAAATCCATCCGTATTTTATCATTTTCCAGTTATTCTACTGCAATCCTTCACTCATTTTTTAAAGGCAGCATATATTTTGTCTTGTGTTTCACAACATCAGTGTTGTGTTCCAGCACAGAGCTGCCTCTATCTTTTTTATTTTATTTTTAATCATTAATTTAAAGTCATCTTCTTACAGAGATCAACAGAAACACGCAGCAGAACAAAGCATTTCATCACAGTCTGTGCGCGTGAGCGCGTGCGCGTCAGTAAGTGTTATCCATCACTAAAATATCTGAGGTTTTCTTTCACCTACCGAACCGGGCTGCTGGGTCCAGAACCGCAGACAGAAAACCAGCGCATGTGAAGAAGCGACAGCTGATCCAGTCCGGTTCGGGCTGACGATACGGTCCGGTTCAGGATTCAGGGTCCGGTTCGGACTAAATATACTGGTTCACACCGCGGTCCGATTCGGCTTGAAAGCAGACGTTCTCCGTTAAGTTAGAGCCATCAGAGGAGACGGAGCCGTGGAGGGGCTTTAACCCGCCGCTGGCTGCCTCCCTCGGCTAACCGAAGCCTTCTTGGTCGGTGTTAAGTTCTTTAACAGCTCCTATGTGTTTCCACCGGAGCAGAAACGTGAGCAGAACCGGCTGACCGAACACCTGAAGCGGGGACACTGAAACGAGCCTCCGTGAACTCACCTGGAGTGTTTCAGCTGCCCGACAATGAAGCGGGTTTGTATTTCAGTCCTGTTAGCTTAGCTTAAACCACAGGAGCTGTGCTGCGTTCGAGGAACGATAAAACCTCGGAACTCCCACATCGGTGCGTTCACATGTCATTTAACAACACCCGAAGAAGTGGGGCTGGTAACTCAAGAAGCCTTTACAACTATATATATATAT